ATTATTTGAAGCAATTATAACAAATCGGTTGACGCATTCTATCACTTCAAGCATTTCATACAGTCAACATGGATTTTGCAAGGGCAAATCAACTTCTACAAATTTACTTGAATTAACATCCTATATCTCAAAAGCATTTAGTGAGAGCAAAACTGTTGATGTTATATATACTGATTTCAGTAAAGCATTTGACAAAGTGTGCCACTCGTTGCTCATCTATAAACTTGATCTTCTTGGTCTTCCACCTAATTTTCTACGTTGGATCTCTTCATACCTCTATGATAGATCACAAAGGGTATTGTTTAAAAATACTATCTCTGACGTCATTGATGTTACTTCAGGAGTCCCTCAAGGTAGCCACCTAGGCCCGGTTCTGTTCTTGCTATTTATAAACGATATTTCTACAGATATAAAATTCTCCAAAATTTTAATGTATGCAGATGATGTAAAACTTTATAAATCGTACGTTTCAATTGAAGAAAGGTCTTTGCTACAATCAGACTTAAACAGCATGGCTTACTGGTGTCAAGTAAATCTTATGACTGTAAATCTTAAGAAATGTAAAGTAATGTGCTTCTCGCGAAGAGCTGTTCTGCCAGTTTCTTATATAATAGGTAACCATAACCTGGAACAGGTATACAATTTTGTGGATCTTGGTATCACAATGGATCCTAAGCTTTATTTTAATCTTCATATTAATGTGACAGTCAACAAGGCTAATGGTGTACTTGCATTTGTGAAACGATGGTCAAAAGAATTTTGTGACGCTTATATCACTAAAACCCTGTTTACAACATTAGTTAGGCCAATTCTGGAATACGGTTCGGTGGTTTGGAACCGAAGGTATCAAATTTACTCAGACAAGATAGAATCAATTCAAAAACAATTCCTACTTTTTGCTTTAAGAAACGAGACGATTAAAACTTATTAATATTTGTACAATTTTTATAGTTAAATTACTAACAGGCTCCATTTCAAGTCCGCTTCTTCTTGGCGAAGTTAGCCTTAATGTTCCCTTCCGGGTATCAAGACACTTTTTCCCCTATTTCTGAAAGCTTGTAAAACTAATTTTGAATTGCACGACCCACTCCGTTGCTTATGCCAGGATTTTAATTCTCATTCCAGCACGTTTGATATATCAGATCCGCTTTTCAGCATTAACAAATCGATACTGTCCTCTCTCAATAAATGAATCATTAAAATAAAGACATAAAATCGGCTGATGAATTTAGTTCTGTAGCTGAACGGTTTTAGATCTCGACACTTAACAAAATCCCGCCTATCGTGACTCGGAGCAAAAATTGAAAATACTGACTGGTTCCGTACGTCATGCGGACTGCGCCCCTCGTGCGGATGGGCGGGAATGGAGGGTAAAAACCGTTGGGATTATTATTAAAATGGAGGGAGGTGTTTTTTTTTTTATTGAAAAGCGTAAATATTTGACCTACCAAGTCGAGGATCCTCTATCGAAATCGGTTGACGTGGTCCAAAGTTATGCGGTAACATACACAAAAAAAAAACAAAATATTCCGACGAACTGATAACCTCCTCCTTTTTTGGAAAATACTATTCTAATCAGGGATACAGCGTAAATCTAATCGGCTTCATTAGCCGTTATTTTAATTCGCCAAAATACTTGTACGAATACATGCGTACTTTCGGATAAGAAGCTAATCGTAACTAGTTTATTACTTCCACAAATCATCTGCACATAGCGGATTAATTTTAGAATAATCAGCTATTTCATCGTGCTTTCATTGAAGCAATTCGATAAGTTAAAACAATATACATTATCATTGGTCTAATACATAGCGATTGGGAATTTTTTATTTTTTTGTATGCATATAAAAAGCCTTCCTTTTTCATTTAAAAAATAGTTAAAATTTATTTCGCCAACATGAAGGTTCTCTTCTTGTTTGCTCTTTTCCTGGCGTGTGCCAACGCATCGGCTCTTACTGACAAATTCAAGAATCTAGTTCCCAGCTTTGCCACCGGCTATATCATTAACGGCGAAGATGCTGAGCCACAATCTGCCCCTTACATTGTATCGTTGAGTTCCAATGCTAGCCGTCATTCTCACAAGTGTGGTGGCACAATTATTGCCAAGGACTGGGTTTTAACTGCCGGTCACTGCATTTCTACTGCCGTTGGAATGGGAGTTATTGCTGGTCTTCATAACCGCACTGAAGTTGATGAGAATACACAATCACGTGTAGTTGACTTTGGTAGAGTTCACGCAAGTTACAGCGGTGGTGTGGGACCTTACGATATTGGCATTTTACACATCTCCCAGCCCTTTGAGTTCAACGAACGAGTACAACCAGCAAGCTTGCCACACCGAGAAGAGATCCACAGCGGAGAGACTCATCTTTATGGTTGGGGACGACCAAATCCTTACATATCTGCTGCAGCCCAGATATTGCAAACAGTTCAAACTGAGGTCGTCGAGTGGAACGAGTGCAAGGAAACTCTGCCTCAAAGTGCTCCTCTCCACGAAACCAATGTCTGCTCAGATTCCTTGCAGAAGGGCATATCTGCATGCAGCGGTGACTCTGGTGGTCCTCTGGTGAAGGTTATCAATGGCGGACCATCTGAACTTATCGGTATTGTATCCTGGGGATACACTCCATGTGGTGTTTACAATTTACCATCGGTCTATACACGTGTCTCTGCATACATCGACTGGATTACTAAGATCCAGAGTGCTTACTATGCATTAAACTAAATGCAATAATTTAATAAATTTTGAAAACACAAAAATTTTTCGTTTGGTGCATTTGCAAAGAGATTCACAGATTTTTTCGATTCGTATGGTGAAATTAATTTCTTTAATGAACTACATGATTTATCAGATTCTTCTTGTTCTTGGTTGGCGCTGTAATAGCCTAAGTGATTTTGGCTGAGTCTAAAACGTGGAGCCGTTGTATTTTAATTCGCTTAAAAAGCTCAAACAGCTCATAGCTTCAACGTCGCTAATGCGCAAAGGCCCTTATATCTTCCGCTGCAACTTTTTCCCGTACACTTCAAGGCCCAGTAAGTTCGCTGAAGGTGTGTTTCAGCTTTTCACACAATACCCTCAATAAGAGCTTTTAGCAAATATTTAGAAGACTGATTCCACGGTTGCTGGCGTAAATGGCTGGCGTTGCGCCTGATCGTGGTGCGGCCTTGTGACTTTTTAATCTGCAGCGGTGTGCCATTTCTCATCGCACCAGTTGTTATTTCAGACTCGCTGATAAGTAGTTCCACTGCTGGCATATGTCGGTTTAATGAAAAGTACTCTCAGGGCAGCGCGCTTAAGTGCGTTACAAGCGCTCAAATAAGCCTCGTGCAAGATAATTTGAAAGATCTTGTGATCGTATTAGCGACTTCCGGTTTCGCCCGGATGTGTGTTTAAATGACCGGAAGTCCATTTTTTATAATAGGAGCTGCATGTTTTTCTTACAGATTCGGATTCTGCGGACAAAACGGACTTCCGGTCGAATCCGGAAGTTGGTAATACATTCTACCAAAAGATATAGCGTCCCCGACTTGGTTATTCATATTTTGTCGTTTTCCAATAAAAACATGTTTGTCCATTTTAGACGTCCAGGACGAGTTGAAGTTCCAAGGTCATTTAGGCTTTGAAAAAGACACTTCCGAGAAGAATGTTTAAAATAAAATTTACAACACCGGAAGTCGGTAATAGTCGGTAATAAAATAGATCATCCCCAAATTGGTAGTTCAAATTTTTGCGGTTTTCAATAAAAAAACATTTATTCTATTTTAGTGGGGGTGAACGAGTGATCTGTATACTTACATATGTATATATTTTTTATTTTCTTTTAAGTTTAAGAAACTTATTTCTTTAATTTAATTTTTACGTTGTATGTTTTTAAAAAGAAACATATTTTGATTATTTTATTTGTAAATATTATTTTAAAAAGAAAAGTTTTTTTTGTTAGGTTCAATTAATTTTCTTTTTCTTATTTTTCTTTTTTNAAAAGTTTTTTTTTTATATTATTTATTCTTTTTACAATTACACATTCACATACATACATATGTATGCTCCAACAAATGCTTTGTACAAATTTACACAATTAAAAGCATCGCATATGGTTTGAATTGCAACAGTCGCGCAGGTCGATTACATGCATATGCATGTAAATAACTATGTATGTAACTTATTTGTTTTACGCCTTTGCGGCACAACGAGGCGTATGAGTAATTTACGCAGTTTAATGTGCGATTATTTATGGTGCGCAATGTAGGTACGTACATACATATGTAAGACTGTATGTAAGCAAGCGCATGTGCAAGTATATATGTATGTATGTATACATGCAGCAGTGTAGATTACTATGGGTTATTGGAACTAAAGCAGGGATCACACGATTTGTACATTTGTACACAAAATGCCAAATTTAGATTTGTCCACATTTGCGCATTTGGATAGCGATGTACAAATGATTTGTTTTGCGATCAGACGATTTGGCTGCCAAAGATCCAAATGATTTGGCACACATTTGCGCACAGTAGTAAAGTGACAAATACTGTCCACATTCATTCACACGATTTAACCATTTGGTCATAAATACTTAAACAGCTGATCCGGTGTCAACCATACTTTTGTATTTATGATTTCGTGAGATTTGAAGTGTAATAAACAAAAATAATATATACGCACAGGTACTCAGAATTTTGAATACACCCTCAAAATCTGGGCTGAAGGTAAAAAACGCGTTTTTCATAGGTTGAAGCATATACTTGCTCGTAACTTTATTTCTGTTTGCCCGATGAAAAATACTTACATATGCCATTTAAGAGAAAACATTTCGTTGTTTACAACCATTTATAAATGGTTAATTTGTCTTGAGAATGGGCACCCTATGTATGTATACTAGTTAACAAAATAGTCGGACAAGTCGTAATTTAAAATGAAAAAAAGTTAAAAATTTAAATTTTGCATATCGATGGCTGAGTGGAAGATCGACCTATCTCGGAAGCCAGTTCAAAAACGCCCTGTCTCTGAAAATTTTTCAAGAACGCCCTACTTCAAAGTTTGATTGAAAAACGCCCTATTTCAGAATTTGGTTGAATAACGCCCTATCTCAGAATTCATTTCAAAAACGCCCTATCTCAAACGAAAATACATTGAAAATAAGCTGATATAGGGCGTTTTGGAAACGGCAGCTGAGATAGGGCGTTTTTCAATGAAATTCTGAAGTAGGGCGTTCTTGAAAAGTTTTCTGAGATAGCGCGTTGTTAAAAAATTTTCTGAGATAGGGCGTTTTCGAACTGGTTGCCGAGATGGATCGATCTTCCACTCAGCCATCGATATACTCTGTAAGATTCCTTTCAGTGATCGGACTTCTACCACATTGTTGTAGATCTGCCACTTTTTGAACACACCTACCACACAAGGTCTGAAATCTACCACATACTCGCGTTTTTGAGTAGTTTTATTTTTGCTCAACATAATTTTCTTAATTTTAAGAGCAAAAATTGTCCAACACTCAACATCAACCATGCTTTAAATGGGAG